CAAATTGAAAGTCAAACTAATTTTTATACCACCTCCGGTTCTTAAAATAGGACCTCTTTTGATTTTTATTTTGGTCCTAAATATAAGATCCCAATCTACTTTGTATTTAATATTTATGTATTTTTTCAAGATAGTTCTTCTAACAATGGTAGTTCTAACCAATACACTTGATTAGTAAGGATATTTTAGGAAAGACAATACTACCTCCGGTCCTAATTATAAGACCCAGTTGACTTATTTGAGGAGATTAAAGAAGTAAGTTAAGTTAGTTGTTTTATATAAATAAGTATTGTTATTCCTAAATATCCTTGCTAATTAAGTATATTGGCTAGAACTATCATTATTAGAAGGATTATCTTGGAAAAAATACAAATATGAGAGACAAAATAGATTGGGGTCTTATAATTAGGACCAAACAAAAAGTCAAATGGGGTCTTATAATAAGGACCGGAGGTAGTATATATTTATGACAAATAACTAATTTAACTTATTTTCTTAATTTCCTCAAATTAGTCAACTAGCTCTTATAATTAGGACCAGAGATAGTATTAAGTACTGAATGTAGTATTTTTTTTACAAAAGCTATATTTTTTTTCCTTGTGAAACCTCGTTAAAATGTATTAGGAAATCTTATAACAAAAACAAGTTGCATGGATCACGATAAAATATGTGGAGAAATATTCAAATAATAAAAAATATAACACATTCGTATGTCTCATGAATAATCTCACTTTTTATATGTTTTATTTTTCATAGATAAAAACCGTGGGTAGAAAAAAATGATAAAAAAAATGAAGAAAAACAAATACTCACGATGTATTTACGGAAAGACTATGTTGTTTAATGTATGTGATAACATGCTTAAATAAGTAATTTTTAATACTATGTCATTTATAACACAGCAGTATATCATAATTACAATTACTTTTCATAGAACGAAAAGTCAGAAGGTAAAACTTCAGCAAATTACAGCGAAATTAGCATGGAAGACCATCCCACGGTCGCCTTTGACTGTGGAAGAGATTAACTTTCCACTTTCATTATATTTTTGTCACATTCCATTAAAAAACAACCTGTTACTAGCGCTTTATCAAAATTAAAATAATTGAAGAATTGATATTGTTTCTATATCTAATATCTATTTTAAATACTTATTAATTTTCACTCAAAGTAATTCTATTAATATTCTTTTAACAATAATTAAGTAATAAAAAGAAAGAGTGAATTAGGAAATATATTTAGAAAGTTTTAGAAAAAAACATATTATATAAATTAACTTAACTAATATTTTTAATTTATTCAAATTAGTTAATCAATATTTTTAGTTTAAAATAAGGTTTTATCAAGAACGGAGAAATACTCTGCATGTAATTGCGAGCAGAATGGCAGATCTGCCCCCGGCCGAAGATGTATTGCCTATTTGCCCATGAACCGGGTGTTGTTCCCGCGGTTTACGTTTTCCGAGTCCATTGTCGTTGAGCTCAACTTGCTTCCTGACTATAAAAAATCGCAGCTTCTTTGTTTTTTTAAACAAAAAATTGCAGTTATTATACTACTATCTCTTCCCCTAATTGCTACCCATATTGACTTATTTGAGGAGATTGGAAGTAAGTTAATTGGTTATTTATAATAAATAAGTATTGTCCATTCTTAAAATATCCTTGCTAATTAAGTATATTGGCTAAACTATCATTATTAGAAGGATTATCTTGGAAAAAATACAAAAATATAAGAGACAAAATGGATTTGGGTCTTATAATTATGACCAAATAAAAAGTAAATAGGTCTTATAATAAGGACGAGGAGTATCTCCTATCCTATTTATAATTTAGTTTGTAATATAATTTTATATTATAAATTAAATTTTATAATTAGGATAGAAATAGTGCTTTTCATGCTGTGGTTTTAGACTCTCTTGAAGCTCGTGACAGTGACTAGTAGTTTATTCAGTTTCTTGAATTTAATTTATCATTTTTAAAAATAAAATTTGGTTAAAGAATTTACTCTAATATTAAATATAAAATCCCAGCCTATTTTATTCTTGAAAATTTCTCAAACTATTTTTAATAACTACATATGTTAAAAGATGTTTTTATTAATGAATTGATCTCAATATATTTGACTAAAAATAGGGGTGTTTAAAAGCCAAAAAAAAAGATATACGAGATTATTTCATAAATAACTATTTTAAATTTTTTTATCTTTTCAAATTAGTTGTTTAATTTCTATATTTAGGAATGGAAATTCATATAGCAAATAATCAGCTGTACCTTAATAGCTACCTTCATTTTTTAATCTTAATATGCATTTTTATCTCTAAAGTAATTAGTAAGAGATCTTTTAAAACCTACTTGATATTTTTCATGAAAATCTTTGTTTTTAATGCGTATCATATTCATGCATTTATTATCATTACTTATCTGTTTTGTTATTTTTTACCCAGAATGTGAATAATATTTTTTTTGTCATGGAATCATTTCTATTCCATTTTTTTTTATGTTAGTCTAATTTATTCTGCGCATTAAACAACGCAGTCGCAGCTTGTTATAAAATAATTAGGATATTTCATATTTGTTTACAATAAAAAAATATTTTTTAATAATTTTTAGGAATATATCAAATATGTAAAAGTGGACTATCATAAGACTAAAAATTAGTATTGAATCAACCAATAAAACCGTGTGCCTATATTACAATTATATCTGGTTTTTCAAAAATTGCAATTCATATTTTTAGATATTGATGGTATTGATTTTTTCACAAAAATATTTGATCAATATTGTACAGGAGTAATCAGTAAAATAAAACTCTGTCCCCCCCCCCCCCCATGAAAGTAAAAAATGGTTTCCTCCAAAATACAAATAAGAAGTTACCACATATAAAATTATTAACCCCACAGGGAATTGTAAATGCACTTTTCAGAAAAAATAAATAAATTGATAAGTTTTAGTGCTTTTTTAAACCAATCCTTTTGGAAATAATTGATGTCTAATGATTCTAACCTAAAGTTTTAGATGATTAATTTTTATCTGATAATTTGGTAACTGAACGATTCCTTGCTAATCCAAACACGTCACCAGACAATGAACTTTCTCAATTAAACGTATAACTGTACGGATTTTCATATATATACGTGTGTACATATATATATGTATTCATTTTTTTGCCAGCCTTTACACACACACACACACACACACACACACACATTTTTTTTCAGCAAAAGAGGCATGGAGATTTTTTAAATGATAAAAAAAACTAAAGCGAAACAACTAATTTTACGAGGAGAAATATGTACAAAATAATTCACAATTTCTAAATATATACGTCGATTAGGATATATTCAATACAGATTTTTTTCCCAGAAAAAGAGGCGTGGATAGTTTTTTAAGTGATAGAAAAAACTAAAGCGAACAACAGATATTGTGAAGAGAAATATGGACAAAATGATTAATAATTTCTAAATAATGAAATTGTATAAATGAGATTAGTGTAATACCTTTCTATTTTTATAATATAATGTATTATAATACTTTTTTTAGCAAGTGAAGTTTGTAAGCCTCCGTTTTTAAAAGTATCTTAAGGACAATAAATGAAAGGGAAACTGAAAAGCAATATCAAGTAAATTTAGGTTTTTTTTTCCTAATCAAAGGCAAATTTTCCTTGAAAATAGGCAAGCTTAGATGTTAAAGAGAGAATGAAATGTAAATATTTATGATTTTTTTTTGGCTAACCCAGCATAAAACTTTCTTGATGCGAAAGAAAGGAAAAATAAAAATCATTTGATGTTTTTGCCAAAAAATGAAAAAATAAAAAGCATTTGATAATTGATAATCTAAAATAGTTCAAGATATTCTAATTTTTTCAGCAAACAAAAATATTCAAAAATTAACGGGTTATTTGCATGCGTCTTAGGATCTCTCAAATCTCAATCACAATTCTATATCTATTGTTAGTCAACTTTGAAGTATATTTCTTTATGGTGTGATTAACGGGGCCATTTTTTTTCCTTTTTGTATTTAAATTTATCTGGTCAAGAGTAGAAGCTAGATGACTATAGCTAGGCAATAACTAAGGTATCCTTTTATTTATAGATATATATGTATATGCATATTTATAAAGTCAAATATTTTACTTGATTCTGTAATAAATATTTTAGTCTATAATTGTTTGCTTCGTATATAAAATCTAAATATAGAATAAAAATAGAAAATAATTTCAACATAACCAATAAAAAATTTAGATAAAAGTGATTAACTCACAGTTATAAAAATATAACAACCTACAGAAAATAAAAGATTTCCCTCTCTCTCCCGGACAACAAACTAGATTTGATTATTAATTAATTAATAGACAAAAAATGAAGCCAGGTCCTCTTCCGAAATTTTTCTAATTAAACTGAAAATATTTTAGAAAAGAAATGGAAGTGTGCTCACAGAAAATCAAGCAAAAGTGCATATTTTTCAGTTTGTTCTCCAAATTTTATAAGATTTTAGTTTGTTCTCCAAATTTTATAAAATATTTTTTAGTCATCTAACTTTAATATTATTACTCTCAAATAATAATTTTTTATGTCAAGTATTATTATTTTTGAAAATATGTCAGGTAATGATCTGTCAATATTTAAAATACTAACGGCAGTATTTTTTTTATAACAACATTAGAATTAAATAATGAATAAAACGCTTTATACAATTAATGAATCAAAATAAAATACCAGTGTTATGTATGTGCTCAGAAAATTATATAGGAAATGATAATAAATCAGCGTTATTGCAGATTGAAAACTCCGCAAGTCTAGCCGAAAATAAATCTAAATCTGCTTATTTATGACTCCAGATAAGCAGAAGGCAAATCTCACTTTGGATAAGTAGTTCTACTTATTGCATCGGTTATAAGTACGATGGCTTATCACACAGGAGCCATGATTCCCATCTCATCTCGTGCTCGCTCACGCTATTTAAACCGTCTTGATTCATTCATTTCGTCGCTTCTTACCTCTCTCTCTTTCTCCTTTCTCCCCAAATCCCTAGCCCTTTCCTGTATAAATACTTCACCAGAAGCGTTCCAACACGGGAAAAGCTAGAGAGAGAAAGCAGAGCGAGAAACCACTGAAACCCTCCTTAATTATCCTCGTTCTGCTTCGAGGGTTATCGATCTGTGTAGGAAATCTCAGACAGGTGCGAGCTCCTTCTCTCCTTCTCATTTTCCATTTCTCAGCAATTTTTTCCTGAATTTTCTGCTTAATATCTGGATAATAAAATAATTTTTTCTGATAGATTTTGGTTTCTCACACAGAGTCTTGAATTTTTTCATGTTGATGTATTTTTCGCTTAATTCAAGGTTTTGATGCTCCAGTGTTGTTGATCTATTCTGGTTTCGATCTTTCAGGCGGACTTATTTTAGTTGCTGGGGACACCGCCATGTCTTCGCTTAGCAGAGAACTGGTGTTTCTTATACTTCAGTTTCTAGATGAAGAAAAATTTAAGGAGTCTGTTCACAAGTATGCTAGTTTTCTACTCATCTTTTTTTAATAAATTTTTAATTTTAATTTCGGTAGTCATACATATCTTCTCGTTCTCTCTGGCTAATTGATTATTTTTCATCTGAATTGTGAACGTCTATAGGTTGGAGCAAGAGTCGGGATTTTTCTTTAACATGAGATATTTCGAGGATATGGTAACGAATGGGGAGTGGGACGAGGTTGAAAAATATTTGTCTGGTTTCACGAAGGTGGATGATAATAGATATTCCATGAAGATCTTCTTTGAGATTAGGAAGCAGAAATACCTTGAAGCTTTAGATAAGTATGTTATGGTGATGTTAAGCTGTTACTGTTCTTAAAATTTTTTTATTCATGACGGGCGAGAGAATTAAGTTTTAAACAACTGCAGGCAAGATCGATCAAAAGCAGTGGATATTTTAGTGAAGGACTTGAAAGTGTTTGCCGCATTTAATGAGGATCTTTTCAAGGAAATCACACAACTGTTGACTTTGGATAACTTTAGGTATGGGCAATAAGCTTGGTATAATGTTATGGTACTTTTTCTTCACTTAGAATTACAATGGTTTTTATGAATTTACAGACATAATGAACAGCTATCTAAGTATGGAGATACAAAGTCCGCTAGGGGGATAATGCTCGCTGAACTAAAGAAATTAATAGAAGCTAACCCTTTGTTTCGTGATAAGCTTCAGTTTCCTACCTTGAAGAACTCCAGGCTGCGGACTTTAATCAATCAAAGGTCCTTATAAATATCATATGTTTTCTAGCACTTATTCCATTATTTTTTTAATCTTTGATGTAACAATTATTTTTTGTTTTTTATTTAATTGTTGATTGCAGTTTAAACTGGCAACATCAACTCTGTAAGAATCCAAGGTCTAATCCTGACATAAAGACCCTATTTGTAGACCATAGCTGTGGACAGCCAAATGGTGCACGGGCTCCATCCCCTGTTACTAATCCTCTAATGGGTGCTGTCCCCAAGGCTGGAGGTTTCCCACCGCTTGGTGCTCATGGTGTAAGTAACAGAACTGGAAACAATTCTCCTATGCTGCACTGGTAATTTGTGATATATAAATATAAAATGTTGTATACCTGATACCATTTATACATCTTATAGCCATTCCAGCCAACACCACCTGCTCTTCAGACATCACTTGCTGGATGGATGGCCAATCCATCCCCTGTTCCACACCCATCAGCCTCTGCAGTACCAATAGGTTTGACTGCAGCGAATAATGCAGGTAATTTTACATCTAGTCAATGTTTTGTCGGCCTTGACTAACACATAAAATGGGAATTGGCCTCATCTATCTGGTCATTTCGTGCTGGTTTTTATAAATCTAATCATGCGTGAGAATACATTCAATTATGGAACTGCAAAAGTGATGTGAGATTTGAAAAACTGAGAAAATATTGAAATTGCTAGAGATCTTGTGATGGTTATGTCATGTTGGCTTTTTCTATAATGCTTGTTGAATGATTGGCAATCAATCTTCCTTTGTCTCTTTATGCTCGATCACTTTCCAACCTGATTTTCTTTTGCGCTCTCTGTTTTGGTCATGGCAACAGCTATTTTAAAGCGCCCCAGAACTCCCACTAATAACCCAGCTATGGACTATCAAACTGCAGATTCAGATCACGTATTGAAGAGGACAAGGCCTTTTGGCATATCAGATGAAGTATAAAGATGCATTCTATCTGTTTGTCTCTGTCTTTTTGATTAAAGAGTGAAAATGTGGATCTCATGATCATGCATGTCAGCTTTTTTCATTATCCTTCACGTAGATGTCTTTTAAAGTGCAAGATGCTTGTTTCACAGTGTGGCACTTTGTTAATATAACTGGAAGTTAGTGGAATTCCAAATTGCTTGGCAGCACACCTGATCATATCATAGCTTATCTTTGAACTATGGAACTTTATTTACTCCATAGTCAGAGAATATCTAGGTTAAAATTTTCATATTAACTAGAAGTTTTATTTATTTTTCCTACGCTTTTCACAACCTTTTTTTCTTGTTATCAAAACTGAAAAACACTTTGGGAAGTTGTAAAGTGTACAGTTTCAAAGAACTGAAGCTCAAAAACCTCGTTCATATGGAAATTGGAAACGTTTGTTGCTTCTTTTTTCAATATTATTTTTGTTTCCACAATTCGTGAGATATATTAATGCTGAGAACAGAAATTGCTGCCTTGCTCTCCAGGTGGAGGATGGCAAGGATTTGTAGGATTTAAATTGGACTGGATTGGATGGACTAGTGTGTGATGCATATATGCTTGCTTAGCCATTTACAATAAATTTTAAATTTATTTTAAAACCGTTAGGTATTAATTCCTTCATTTTGAAGTCTACCAATTATGGATTCTTTGCAGAAATTTAATGTCTGTAACTCATCCTGCATTCATGAATTCTAGCAGGTCAATAATCTACCAGTAAATATTCTGCCTGTTGCTTACTCTAGCCAAAGCCACGGTCAGAGCTCCTATTCGTCTGATGACTTGCCCAAGAACGTTGTGATGACTCTAAGCCAAGGTCATCTGTCAAAAGTATGGATTTCCATCCGCTTCAACAAATCCTACTTTCTTGGTAAGCTGCTTTTTTCTTGACTTCCACTCAAACAGTAATGTCCTCAGTTTTTAGTTAGTTATTAATGTATATATTTAATTAATTTGTAAATTGATTTATCTTTTAATTTTGTTGATGTTTAGTTGGAACAAACATGGGAGATGTCATGGTGTGGGACGTAGGTAGCCGTGACAGGATTGCACTTAGAAATTTCAAGGTCTGGGACCTTGGAGTGTGTTCAATGCCTCTACAGGTGTGTTTCTTGAACTAAAGTTGATGAACACTGCATATCTATTGTTTCCGTTTGAACTTTGAAGTCAGCTTGTCAACTAATGAGTAACTGTTATCTAACCGTAATGTAGGCATCACTGGCTAATGATTACACAGCTTCGGTGAACCGTGTGATGTGGAGTCCTGATGGAACACTTTTGGTATGATCTAAGGATATTTGCTGCTTTCTATGGCTCGGTTTACGTATTTGCTTCTTGATGTATTCTATTGATCCCATACTTATGTCATTTGAAGTTGTTAACAGGTTGAATTTTGTTTTCTCAATATTTCAGGCGTTTGCTTATTCTAAGCACATTGTGCACTTATATTCCTATCACGGTGGGGA